CCCATCTGAGAGGGTTTTTAGTGCCAGTGGGAACATAGTTTCATGCCACAGAGCTTATTTTAAACCAGAGACAGACTTGTGTTCTTAGCTAAAAACTTGTAAAAAAAAAAATACTTATCCCAGTTTAATTATTTCCCCCAATTGCACAGTGTAAATTGTGAATTGCATGCACTAAAAAAGTTGACAGAATGCACTTTCTGTACTTGTTTTGCAGCTATATTATATATTATAAAATTATTACATAAAATGAAGAATTTAAAATAATTATTATTAATATGAAACAATTAATAGTATTAAACTTTATACAAAATGTTAATTTGTGATATTAATTGCAATATCATGCAATTCAATTATTAACTGAAGATATAAAATCGTTCTAGTACTATTTATTTACATATTACACAATTTATATACGGGTCAGAGAGTGTGATTAAGGGTTTTAGTGTGTGTGTGTTTTTTTTAATTAATCACAGTTAAGGTGTTAAATTGAAATCCCTAGCTCTCAGATATCTTGCTATGATTACCGAGAGCCCAGTTAATCAGTAAAACAAAATGTGGTTCCAACTGGGAGAGAGGGAGGGAGGGAGGGAGCATGGCCGATGACAATTACACCTGGGGGATTGCATTAGAGCAACTGCTATCACATTCAATTAGTGCTGGGGTAATACCAGCACCTGATTTAGTGTTAATGGAGAGAGGTCCTCATGCATAAATCTCTCGTCTCTCTTCCACCAACATGTTTATTGCACATTAATAAAGTGACCTCACCTCCGCTCAGGATCAGTCAACCTCAGGGACTGCGCTCGGCCGTCTTATTAAAAGCAGCTGCAGTGTGCTGCCCAGCGGCCGCCCAAGAGCGCTTCGTCGTGACAGTCCAATGCAGGCCGATAAATCACATTCTCATGGCTGCTGGTATTCTCCTTTATCAGTGTGTGTGATAAAGGTATTTCTTTATCAGTTGCAACATGTTTCCATGCTTTCACGGCCTCGGCAGAGGGAAGTGCAATAGATACGGCAGTCGGTAACATATAAACAGCGATCCAGCATACAAAGCTGGACCCGAGATACGAGTACAGACACGGGCCATTATGGCAGAGCTTAGCCTTACGGGAAACAAGAAGAAATTCTGTCCATTCAGGCCCAGAAATGAAAATTGTGCCATCATTTACTCACCCTCATGTCATTCAAAACCTGTATGACGCTCTTTCTTATTCGAAGCACAAAGACAATTTTGAATAATGTTTCTCTCTTTTGTATGCAGTTACAATGAATGGGGACTAGAGCTTTCAAGCTTCAAGAAGAGCACAAAAGCACCACAAAAGTATCATAAAGGTATAAAAAAGGTTTGTACCATTTGGGTGTCAAATATATGTCTTCATACGGCAGCTTTGTGTTGAAAAAGACTGAATTTTAAGTCATTGTTGAGCTGTCATCGAATCATTGAGAACTGAATCAGCTTGATATGCGAACTAATCATTCGGATTGAATTAATCAATTCAGAATGTCATCACTACTTCTGTCATTTATGTTTTTCTTAGGTTATTGAAGTAAAATTTCAACTTTCATTCAATATGTTACTTGCTTATTAATATAATACTATTTCACTTTTTTTTGGTGAATAATGGTTCAAATGTTCAGAATTCAATTCCATTATAATAAAAAGTGGATTTTCTAAAAAAAAAAAAAGATTCAAAGATTACTGGAGTATATTTTACAAGAAAATTATATTTCAGTTTTTCCACTTAGAAACTTCAGCTTTAATTCTATGTGTTATTTGCCTTTTGTCATTAATTGTGAAATACTACCAATTTCTGAGTGAAAATGATTTCTACATCTAACTTTTTTCAGTTTAGGAAAGCTAGATTGAGTGTTTTCAGATTTTTTTTTCCCCCCGGTGAATAATGGTTCAAATGTTCAGAATTGAATTCCATTATAATACAAAGTGGATTTTCTTAAAAAAAAAAAAAAGATTAAAAGATTACTGGAGTATGCTTTACAAGAAAATTCTATTTCAGTTTTTCCACTTAGAAACTTCAGCTTTTTGTCATTAATTGTGAAATACTACCAATTTCTGAGTAAAAATGATTTCTACATCTAACTTTTTTCAGTGTAGGAAACCCGATGAATAATGGTTGAAATGTTCAGAATTCAATTCCGTTATAATAAAAAGTGGATTTTTTTTTTCAGCGTAGGAAAGCTAGAATGGATGTTTTCAGAATTTCTATGAATAATGGTTTAAATGTTCAGAATTCAGTTTCATTCTAATGAAAAAGAGTTTTTTCTTCACAAAAAAATTCATACAGGTTTGGTGATGACAAAAGTTTCATTTTTGGGTGAACAATTCCTCTAAAGGTGAGTGGTAAACTGCTCTCTTTTGCCCAGAGAAAAGAAGGAACATTGTTAATGTCAGGTACAGAACAGCAGTTTTTGTGAATAGCCGTAAAAACTCCCTGGCGATTGGTGCTTGGGCAAGGGCACCGGCTCTATTAGTCTGCTCCATCTCCTCCTAGTTTTTATTTACTGCCCTCTCACTCCTTCAACAGCCTGATGATTTTTCTTCCGCTTCCAGCTCAGTGTCTTGCAGGTAACCTATATTCCCCAACTGTGGCCAGTAACATTTCAATCACCAGTAAAAAGTGCTTATTTGCTGCGGACTCGTTGGCTGTTCTTTCATTTCCTTGCATATAAAAATATACGTATTGGTTCTCAGAGGGGCAGATATCAAATACTCCATTACAACGGCACGCTTTCCTGTAGCTGTGAGACAAGGTCAGCCGCCACTCAAATGTGAGGGAAAAAATCAGAATAATAAACAACGTCAGTCATATCTCTATCAGACTGCAACTGAACTATAAAGATAAGGGCATTTATGAGTCTCCCCTCTATGCGGAGTGAAGAAAATGAAATGAAATTTGGCCACGAGCACATCATACACCCACTCATGTGGGTGCATTGCTATCAACAGCGACCCACATACAAGCTTTCACGAACAGATACACACAAACACAGCTGGGGTCTTAGTGAGGCAGAGGCTGTGGTCTGAATGGGCCTGGATAATTAACGGTGATAATAATAGAATTCACTTGTGGTGGAGAGTGTGGCTGTGTACACAGCACTAAATGAACATTTCCTTCTGTATGGTTAGCTGTTTGCAGCCGTTGACACCTGCTCCAGCAAGGGGCCGGACCCATCAACATTGATGTGATGCTGTAATGGGTGGATTTTTTTCAAACTACAATGATTATTTCCAGCTGGAAAAACCAGGTCAATCCTGTTCAAGGTGGTTAAGCTTGTTTATGGAATACCACAGATGGTTAAAAGATGGTCTATAATCTCTAAATTGCTTGTCCAATATGATCTAGCAGGTCTAAACCAGTCACACAATTTCGCAGTTCAGCTGATTAACCATCTAGACTGGACCAAACAAAACTGGACCAGCTACCAACCACCACAATTTTTACAGGATTAGTTTTCAGTTGTTTCTCAATGAATGAATGAATGAATGAATGAATGAATAAACTGTAAACATTTGAATACATTTGATAAAGCTTGTAAAATTTAATTTAATTAAATATTTACATATATAATTTACTTTCTAATGACATATTTCTAATTATATATGGGGTTCCCATGATTGATTTTATGTAATTATAAATATACAGTATATATAATTAAAAAGCAATTTTTTTAATCTAAATATATTTTTTTAAGTTTATTGCTTTCAATTATTTTTTTTTTTGGGGGGGAGAATACAAATCTATTTTAAGATTCGATTCTTGCTATTAACTAACCATTATTAACAGCCAATATGATAATAACAGGCATGCTAATAAGCAACTAGTTAATAGTGAGAACTGGTCCCTTTACTAAAGTGTTACCATTATCCTTTATTTACAGGTTTTCTATGATTGTAGGAAGCCTATTATTACCTTCTACCCATAGAACATCAAGCTTGCCGTTCCAAAACAAATCTGTCAAGCTCAAGTATTTCTAAAATCTTCTATTTCTAGTCCTGAATCATC